GTCCTATTTTGGAGCACGCCAGGTGACCTACTTTTGAGCCACGCCCACTTTTTGGCAAAAATGGAAATGGCCATGTCAGTTCAGGTTCAACGGATGTTCTAGATTCATTCGATTTTGTTAAATTGACCTACTTACCTACCTACCTACCTACCTACCTAACCATACAGTACCTACGTGTAATATTGTGTTTTAGATTCTTCGATACAGTAATTTGACTGGAATATTTTTTTGATTTTATTTGCACGATAATCGAAAACCAAAATGGCGATAATTTTAATTTTAGGCGTAGCGCCATCTCTCGCCCAGATTTCAGACTTTCAGATCTGAAACATTTATTTTCGCATCAAAACTAACCCTGAAACAAAACAGTGAAATTTATATTAGTATAAAACAAGGAATAAGGACATTTGATCACATTTCGGTCCATCATAAATGAAACACTTACCAAATTTTAAATATCATCTTCCTCTTCTATCACTGACACTTTCATTTACATATTCAATTCGATATCGGGTTTATTTTCTGACGTAATAGACAGGTAGACTACTCGGCTTTTCAGATACTAGTTTGATCGAATTCCTCAAAATGGATATTAACATTTTGTATACTTATTTTAATACATTTTTATTAGTGTTTCCAATAGGTTCTTCAAGCAAGGCCCAAGATGTACCAAAAAAGCTTGCATAGAACACTACTTTGAATAAATAAACTGGATTTCAGAGATAAGCTACTTTACGTGACACACAACATTCACTTGGCTTGTCTCATTTCCTACAGGTCGAAGCAGGAGCTGAAAGACGAAGAAGATGAAGAACAAAATGGAACCGCTAAAAAGAAATTGGAACCTCTGTCTTTGGAGGAGTTGTTAGCCAAGCGAAAAGCTGAGCAAGAAGCTCTGACAAAGGTATTCGTTGCATAACTTTTACCTTAGTGAAAACACAGATCTAATTGTGTTAAATCGGGGGTGGGCAAACTGCGGCCCTCTACGGGGTTCTGTTCGGCCCGCGGAAGCCTGCAGCAAATTAGAAAAAATATTTAAAAAAATATAAAAATAAAAATTTTGTGTGTGTGTGAAAGTCAACATGTTTGTGCTTGAACCGAGGCTGACTTTTTCAGTGTCATACAGATTAGTGTTCTATTGTCTCAGAGCAATGCCATTTCAGCTAATTATGGTCCAGAGATGGCGCCCTTGAGGCGAAACGCTGTCTATATGTTGTATTATCTTAGAGCGCACCGCCCGATTTTAAAAGGTGCGGCCCTTTGACTTTTCATGGCTCACTGATGTGGCCCTCGCTCTGAAAAGTTTGCCCACCACTGTGTTAAATGAAAGCAGTTAGGTACTATTGTCAGGTTGGCTATTGCAGCAGATGTGGACAATCTGTTCGTGAGCAGTATCTATTTGCAGACAAGGCCATAGGCCCGACTGATTTGTCCACATAATTGTTTCGATCAGATTTGCATTTAATGCATTTATAATTAAATTACAAAATTGGCCTAGGAAACAATCGTACATCCTATGGTGGTGACTTGTTGCTCGGTATTTCGATTAACTATATATCGGGTTCTTTAGCCAAAGTTCCTAACTAAAGAGGCCAGAGCAGAGGAGGCCATCAAAAAGAGAGAAGCAGCAGTTGCATTGCAGAGGAAAGCTGTGGATGATGCTAGAAAAACACAAATGAAGTTCCTTGAGCAGGCGAGGCACGGCGACAGAGGTGGAATCGGTACGTTCGCTCTATGTTATATTTGCACGCATTGTTGTTGTAACAACATATACAGCTGGTCAGCATAATCTTGTAATGCAGATGTGGCTTAATGTCTACCGGGGGGTGTTCTATGCTTGCACGTGGCGATTTTTTAGTATCGCAACATTTTCATAATAGTCTGCCCCAAAGTTTATGCACAGTGTGTACTGTGGTTGTGTTATTATGTTGCGGTATTGTAGAACAATGTGTAGATGTGTTCCAAGCACGCATAGAATGGTCTTTCACAAGAGTTTCTCACAAGCTGATAGTGGTACCCTTTATTTACAATATTCAACACTGAAGCTGTATACACAATGGGCAAACTAAAGCTGTGACAGAAACTGGAACTGGAAAAACTATCGGGCAAAAAATATTGTTAATTTTTGTTTGCAGATGAGCGGGAACGGGAGAGGAGAGAGCGGCGTGAGCGGGAGAGACGTGAGCGAGATAAAGACGATAAGAAAGACGATAAGCTTTCTAAAGATGGAAAGGGGCCAAGCAAAGAATCAGAGGCCATAAAGGTAGAATAACTGGTTCTGTCTTTCGTGAACAAGCAGAAAGAAATCATCAGATCATATGTGTTATGAACAAGACGTAACTTACAGAAAAGCCCTAGGCAGACTGTACGCCAGTGGTTATTTATTCCTTTATGTTTACAGGAGAGATATCTGGGAATTGTCAAGAAGAAGCGACGAGTGCGTCGACTGAATGATCGTAAATTCGTCTTTGATTGGGATGCGGTTGAGGACACACTGGCCTCTGATTTCAACCCCATCTATAGGGATCGACATGAACTACAATTGTATGGCCGAGGCCACTTAGCTGGTATAGATATAAAGGTGAATTTATGGTTATTATTATTGTTAAAATTAAATAACGACAAAAAATAATAGTAGTTAGAGGCGTAATTTTTTTTTATCAAATATGTATTTGTATATAAGCATGCGAATATGTGTATATATAAAATAATTTTACTGGATCAGATTTAATATATAAAATTATAGATGTCTGGTAATGCTATAACAATTCTGAAATGTATCATTCTAATCTGAAAAATAGTTAGAACAAAACATCACGTATAGTCTAACATGCTCAAATTGTACAAATTGTTTGTGGTCGTTAGTAATAAACGACTAAAATTGCACATGTATTTTTCCCCACACACAGTCTCAAAAGCTGGAAAAGTCCAAGTTCTACGGAGAAATGGTGGAACGAAGGCGAACCCAGCAGGAAAAGGATCAGGAAGTGTAAGTCCAGTGCATCAGCCTCACGTCATGAATGCCCTGCTTGTACTCGCTATCTAGTAGAAAGTGCCAATGTATGAGGGGAGATGAGTGCGATGGGAGAGCAATCTTTATCAAGTCAAGTATTTGTCAAGTTTTTGTGTGTGTTTGTTAATGTTTAACAAATGTGTTCAGAGCAATTAATCCTTTTCCTGCTGTAGCAGTTGTTAAGTTATATTACATAACATTAAAATTAGGTTTAATTTAAATTTAAATAATAATATTTAGTATTAATAATTAATTTATGATTAATAGTCAATTATTAATGTAGGGATAGGTAAATTAATAATTCCTCTATGCATAGTCTCGACTGCTGTGGTCCTGCAAGTATTCGTTCGACACTCAAATGAGCAATTACCAATGAATAAAATTTTAAGTAAATTAATTCGATTAATGAAATCAATAAGTGAATCTAACGTAATTGTGCGCTGTTACTGCACGCGTCGACAATCCTAGGGTTCGCCTAAAGAAGGTGCTGAAGAAGGAGCAGAAGGAGAAGTGGGACGATCGACACTGGGCCGACAAGGAGTTGCCCCAGATGACGGAGCGAGACTGGCGCATTTTCAAGGAAGACTACAGCATCCAGATCAAAGGTGGTAACGTCCCCGACCCGTTCCGTGTGTGGAAGGAGGCGAGCATACCGGACGAGATCCTTACGATTATCGACTCGGTCGGATACAAGGTTCGGCGTTTACGTTTACTGAATTGTTTACTTATACAAGGTTGTTTGCATTGATAAATGTGTCTACATTTACAAAAATTAATAATGGTTTGTGGTTGGTTAAGGTGTGTTTTCATGGTTTGTTTTCATGGACACCTACTAGTATTTAAGATAACACTTCATGTTTCATATGTCAATGTGGCTGAAACCTTGATGAGTTATCCCATTTGTTACGCTGTTATTCTGCCGCGATCTCATTTCTTTGTGAACTAGCATGGTTCTTGTCTTCATTACTAGTTCTGTATTAGCAGTGTTTGGTTAGGTGATGTATGATCCGTAAATCACAATTTTGCAGATAAATTTCTTTTGGATGATTGCCTTCGAAATGTGACTGATCTTTATATTTAATGTGTGCGCAGGTGCCAACCCCCATCCAGAGGCAGGCTATTCCTATTGGACTGCAGAATCGTGACATCATTGGCGTTGCTGAGACAGGATCCGGTAAAACTGCAGCGTTCCTTATTCCGCTACTTGTCTGGATCATTTCTCTGCCGAAGATTGTCAGGTAGGTTGCTCCTTACTTGTGCTGTTTCCCTCTCTACTGGCTGTCGTGTCTTGAAAGCTGGACGATATCCATGGCAATAAAATGCCTTGATACCCTCACTCGTTTGCCTTTGTGCTTGGCCCCTAATTTCCATCTTGTATATTTATTTCTCTATGTGCCACGTCAAAATTGTTGATAGAAGACAATTTGCTTTGGTGACTGCCCTCCTTGTGGCCGTCTGAATGAAATGTCTCCCCTGGTGGCCCTCCTTTGAAGGAAATGTCTTCCTTGGTGGCCTAATGGTATCAAACCCAAGGCAATTCTTTCTTCACTTTAAATGAACACATTTTAAAGTGTACTTGAAATTTTATAAATACAAGTCAAATAATTAAAGTCATAAATAATAAAATTAAGTCTATAAATAAGTCAAATAAAAATACAATAAATAATTAAAATTTATTACCGATGCGTTGCTTGGCAACAGGATGGAGGATGCTGATCAGGGTCCCTACGCTGTCATCCTGGCTCCTACTCGTGAGCTCGCTCAGCAGATAGAGGAGGAGACGATCAAATTCGGCTCTCCGCTTGGCATTCGCACTGTCGCCGTCATCGGTGGCCTGTCGCGTGAGGACCAGGGTTTCAAGCTGAGACAGGGATGCGAGGTGAGTGTAGTGGCTTCTCCTGCAGGCTGTGATCGCAGCAATGTATTGTATGTAATGGCAAGGACTCGATTCGTCAATAGTCATACAGGAAAGTTATCTGGCGGATAAGTCCTATTCTGTAGATAATTTTCTTAGTCAGCTGTATACCTTTTATCAGCAGATAACTTTGGTCTAATCCTAATTTAACTTCCTGACTATCTCTTAAATTCTCCTGATGAGCACGAAATGTTTTTGGGTGGGTAACCATCCAGTGTGTGAGCAGTATGTAGATTAATTAGATGAACAATGAATAACTTTATTCCACTATTAAGCAGCTGGGTCCAGAATTGTAAATAACCTGTTGTTTAGGAATCATTAAGTGTGGTATGTAATGTAAAGGCTCCATGGTTGTAAGTATTTTGAAATGGGGTGAATTTACCAGAAGAAATGAGGAACTGGAAGACTAGGCATGATGGTTTCTGAAATTTGGCTGAATCTCTGCTATCCATCTCCAATAATAATGCATGTTATCATGAGATCCTGTTAATGTGTGGCAGAACATTCGGCGCTTTTGTCCTTGCAAGATTACGTGCAACCATGATCATGGAGGTTCGTGTGTTTTACACCGTTGCTGTTGTTTTTGCAGGTCGTAATCGCGACACCCGGCCGTCTGCTGGATTGCTTGGATAACCACTACATAGTACTCAACCAGTGTACCTACGTGGTGATGGACGAGGTAATCTTCCTAGGTCATGGAGAGTGGGTTTACACCAGCACGTAGAGAGAAGAACTTGCAGGTGGCAATAGGATGAAAACGCAGATGGCAGAAACTCATTGTCAGTCTGCATCCCCCATGTGGCTGGCCAACTCTTTAATCTTTTGCTGGGAAATGATTCAGTTTACACGTTGACCACATTTTAGCAGTGTGTTATGCAGGCTTATGGAATGATAGACATGGGTTTGCATGTTGACCACATCTTGGGTGTGTATTATGCAGCCTCACAGAATGATAGACTTGGGCTTACATGTTGATCACACCATGGCTGTCTTACGCGGGCTGACAGGATGATAGACATGGGTTTGCGTGTTGACCACACCTTGGCTGTGTGTTACGCAGGCTGACAGAATGATAGACATGGGATTTAAGTGTTGACCACACCTTGGCTGTCTTACGCAGGCTGACAGAATGATAGACATGGGTTTACGTCTTAATCACACCATGGCTGTCTTACGCAGGCTGACAGAATGATAGACATGGGTTTATGTCTTAATCACACCTTAGCTGTCTTACGCAGGCTGACAGAATGATAGACATGGGTTTACGACTTAATCACACCTTAGCTGTCTTACGCAGGCTGACAGGATGATAGACATGGGTTTCGAGACGGACGTACAGCGGATTCTGGACTTCATGCCCGTCTCCAACATGAAGCCAGACACGGATGATGCGGAGGATGCAGCGCTACTGCTCAGCAACTTTGCGTCAAAGAAGAAGTTCCGGCAGGTGCGTATGCGCGACGCGCACGGTAGAGGCCGAAGCAAGGAGAATAAATCACATCAGTGTCTTTTAAATAATATGTAGAGTAGATGGTGGTACTGAAAATATAGAGAGTAGAGTGCCGTGGTGCACAGCAATATGTGCTAAAGCCCCTAAGTTTATTGAAAGTAATGATCAAAATCATAGTATTCTAGTGTATTTTATCGAAAATGGTTTTTATTGAACAGAGGATATTAATGTTTTTAAAAACCAATCTGAGGTAGGCCACTATGAAAGGTGGAGTATTTGATCATCTTGATAGGTGATCGGTGCATATTGAAAAGTACATCCCCTCGATGACAAATGGGAATACTGCCAATGACCAGAGCAGTTTTACCCATTAGCGCATCGCAAGATATGTTCTGAGGTTCTCGTATTCTTTGCCAGACTGATGTTCAACCACGATCCTGTGGAGAGAGTGGTAGATTTAGCGCGTAGTACATGGTGGGACGTGTCCTGACATTGCTGCATCTGCTTTCAGACTGTGATGTTCACAGCGACAATGCCGCCTCCCGTCGAGAGACTCGCGCGCACGTACCTGCGACGTCCGGCCATCGTCTACATCGGCTCAGCCGGCAAGCCCGTCGACAAGGTCGAACAGCTCGTCTACATGATGAACGAGAGCGACAAGAGGTGAGCTGGGCTGCTGATATGCCATGCAGTGTGGCTGTGAGCGATGGGTGCAGGGGCGTGGGCGATGGTGTGGATGTGTGGCCATGAGGTATGGGTGTGTGGGTATTAGTGTATGGGCAAGGGTGTGGGTGTGTGCGTATTAGTGTATGGGCAAGGGTGTGGGTGTGTGCGTATTAGTGTACGGGCAAGGGTGTGGGTGTGTGGGCAAGGGTGTGGGTGTATGGGCAAGGGTGTGGGTGTGTGGGCATGGGTGTGGGTGTGTGCGTATTAGTGTATGGGCAAGGGTATGGGTGTGTGCGTATTAGTGTATGGGCAAGGGTGTGGGTGTGTGGGCAAGGGTGTGGGTGTGTGGGCATGAGTAAGGGTGAGTGGGCATGGGTATGGATATGTGGCCATGGGGTATGGGTGTGTGGGTGTGTATGTGCATGCGTGTTGGTGGGTGGGTGGTTGCATGCATGCATCCTTCCTGTGTGTGTGTGTGTGTCTGTGATGGCATAGCTGTGTGTTCGTATGTGTGTCGCTGCTACGTGTTAGTGTGTGTAGTGTCACGAAGATGTTGCTAACGGCGACCGTTGTAATCGTCTACAGGAAGAAGCTGCTGAAGGTTCTGGAGGAAGGATTCGAGCCACCGGTCATCATCTTCGTTAACCAGAAGCGAGGCGCAGACATTCTCGCAAAGTCGCTAGAGAAAATGGCGGTGAGTTATTTTATTCCCTCACCTTTGCAATGATCCTAATCTTAACCCTACCCTTAATCATAGGCCTAATTATAACCATAACCCGAATCTTAACCTTAAGACTGACCCTAACGCTAATCACAACCTAATCTCGCAAAATCGCTAGAGAAGATAGGTATGAGTTCTTTTATTCTCTCATCCTTACAATGATCCTAATTCTAACCCTGACCCCTAACCCTAGTTCAAAATGTCCTCTTATTCGTCCATACAGTACAGTGCAACCACCTTGCATGGTGGTAAAGGACAGGAACAGCGAGAGTTTGCATTAGCAAGTTTGAAGAATGGAACGAAGGATATTCTAGTCGCCACGATGGTTGCCGGTCGTGGTATCGACATCCAAAACGTCTCCATCGTTATCAACTATGACATGGCCAGGAACATAGAAGGTAACGCCATCTACATGTGTGGGGTGATACTACTCGTATAATTGAACGTTTAAAATTAGTTCTTTACTACGTGAAAAGTTCTGGGTTAAAAGCCGTCAAAATATTTCTAGTTTGTTCATTACATCGTGGATAGCATCTGAATAAGGCAGGGTGAATTTTGCAGTCAATCGGTCATGTCACAGCCTGCTCATAATACGTGCAGACAGTAGTAGTATTAGTCTATTTATCTTGGAATAACATCATGGGATTTTATGGTATGATGGTGTGGTGTAAATGGATAATTTAGTGTGTTATGAAAACATGTAGGAATTAGGTGTAAATTAATAATTAAGTTTTAGCGGGTAAAATTCAGATTTCCAAAAACTGAATGGCATTGTTTTCATAATATTAAATCAGCAAATATAGATCCCTGACTTTGATTGATAATGGATGATGCCTTCACAAATCATTTTTCCAGTGATTGTCAGTAATGCTAATGGCCTTGCTGTCGCTTACATGCGTCACAAGTTGCTAATAATAATAATAACGATAATAATAATATTATTATTATTGTTAATAATATTAATGATAATGATATTATATTATTATTATTAAATACAAAAATTATTAATAATAAAATTAATAATAATTATGGAAATTAACAATAATAATAATAATTAAAACTAAATAATACCCCCTTGCACGCTGTTGCAGACTACACTCACCGCATCGGTCGTACGGGCCGCGCGGGCAAGTCCGGCATCGCGATCTCCTTCCTCACGAAGGAGGACAGCGCCGTCTTCTACGACCTCAAGCAGACGATGCTGGGCAGTTCGTCGTCGCACTGCCCGCCCGAGCTCGCCAACCACCCGGACGCGCAGCACAAGCCCGGCACCGTCGTCACGAAGAAGCGCCGCGAGGAGAAGATATTCGCCTGATAGCCGCCGCGCGCGTGCGTCTCCTACTAGATACTGTCGCTGGCTAGCTACTGTTATGTGGGGG